TTGAAATATAATTATTTAATTTGACAATATTAAAATAAACGACTTGACCAAGTTTACTTCAGCCGCAAATACAAATTTCAATAAATATATTACATTACTTTAATCGAAAAACATGTAACATTTTTAATAAGCTGCAAATACAAATTTCAATAAATTACATAAGATGAATATTACAATCACGATCAAAATGATTTATTATTACTAAAATAATTTGTTACTATAAAGATTTTTATATAAATTTACAATCTTTTTTAATATATTAAAAATAAAAAAATTTGATTATAGTACAATGAAGTCACGTAGCGGCCTTACAAAATCTGTTTCATAGAAATTATATTCTATTTTCCCACAAAAATGTATATTTTTGTCATAATAACTTTACTTTTATCAAAGCAAAAATTTTGGCCCGAGAGATTTATTTATCACTGCAATTACGAAACATTGTCGCCTAGAGGATGATCAGCGCAAAGGAGAGATATTATCCGACGGCGAATGTTTGCGCGAAATTAAATCGGTCGCGTGTCCAGTGAAAAGGATATGTCTAACGAGATTGTAAAATCCGCCAGGATAATTGTATTCGCGCTCAATTTAAACTCGCGTTGATAATCGATGGTCGTTAAATCGTACAATGTCCTCTTTCTCTCTCTTTCTCTCTCTCTCTCTCTCTCTCTCTCTCTCTCTCTCTCTCTATGCCGTGTCGCTTCCGGTTTTAATTCTACTTAACGAGCGGCTCGTGCGGCCCGATGCGCGATTTAATGCTCAAACAAAATGTATTGCATCAAATTCCGTTTATGATATAATTGAAGCCGCGGTTTCGACCACACGCGATTGCATATTGTCACAACACGAAACGGTCTGGTTGCGCATTCGCAAATTTTCCATATCAATCCTCGCCAAAAAAGCGCGCGGAAAAATTTCAAATTGGCCGCTGATTTAATCGAGTCAGTAGCTCGGACTTAATGAGAAGCTAATTGGTTAAAGCGTAAAACGACGTGAAACACTTGCACCGGCATTCCGACAGGAATTTTAAATAGAGATTATAATAACCTCTGGACTAATCGATTAATGTAATTTACATTTTTATTTTTATATGATTAACGTTTACAACAAGAGATTATATACAAAGATATTTGGAATTGATTTTTCTATCGTCACAATTTAATTTAAATTTTCCATATATCCTTTTGCATGTACGGATTTTTGTTATCAAACCTTCCTTTACTAAACAAGTTTATATATACATATATATAATACATAAAGTTTGATTTTACGAAATAGAATATACTATAATTTTATTAAAAACTTTGAATACGTTTCTAAATTATTTATATCTAATTCATCAGAATATCTCTTTGTTATTATTCCATTATAAATTTGTTTATATTATTCACACGTATAAGAATCGTCTCTCGAGAAACATAAGAAAAATTTTTGAGATGTTTATTATTATAGCACTGTTTAATTATTTTTTAAACTAATGACATTAAGAATATCAATATTTAATTAAATAATATTGTGTAACAAATTTCTCTTCTGAGAACAGATATATCTGTAGATATGTAAAAATATCTTTAATAACAAAAACATATGTAATTCTTAATAATTATAATTAATTTAATTATTTACTCCTTCTTTCTCTTTCTCTCTCTTATTCTTTTCAATATTTTTATTGGTGTAGAGAAATAACTTTTTTTATTTTTTTACGTTTTAATGTTATCTATTAACACTTAGCAACCACAATCAGAAATTGAAATATCTAGATTTTTGAGGGCATAAAATATTTAATACCAAATGGGTCGAGCTAAAGTGAGCCTTGCCATTGGCAAAAGTCGCGGAAATTTTGCGCGGAACGATTTGAGAACCATCGCTTTAAAGCCCCACTTATCGAGCGCCTAGTTGGTATGATAATGTAATAAAATAAATGGAGGTTGCTGCTTCCTCTCCCAAGCGATATAGTCTTCCACCCTCTTTTAGCCTCTCTTTCTCTCTCTCTCTCTCTCTCTCTTTCTTTCTTTCTCCTTCTCTTTCTCTTCGTATTCCTCCTCATTCCTCTAGGGCAATTCGCTGTGCGGCCCTCTTTCCCCTCACCGTCGCCACTCTCGCTCACACCACCCACCCATTCCGCGCCACCATATCTATCCGGTCCGTGAGATCGGGGGAACAGGGGGACAGGAATGGAATCGAGAAGGTAGAAGGGAATGGAGAGAGCTCACCTCGAAAGCGAAATACAACAAGTCCCGCCGCCATTGCTGGATCACCCTTCAGCGGGAGTTTTGTCGTCGCGTGGGTGGGGGGTTGACAGCCCCGTGCGACGAGAGTCAGTCTCACCCTTCCCGACCGACCCGGTCGAGCCCGGCACGACCCCGGCTCTCCTGCTTCCTGGGGGGCAGCGGAATGGAACCAGGGGGGTGCGCGGAGAATGCCGGGGTAGATAGGTCGAAAACTCCGCCTCCGCACGTTCGCGAAAGCGAGTCAATACTATCACTGCCTTCCGCCTCCGCGTTCCGCCATGCCTATGCTTGCCCTTTCTCGTCAGAGGATGAATATCGAAATTCGTTACCGGCTGTGTGCACGACCTCCGTGGGACTTGCGATCGCGAGGGCGGAGAAAGAGTTGATCTCAAAAGAGTTCGATACGAGTCTTGCAGGAAGTGTCGATTTATTGTCCCACTTCGACGATAGCGAGTAATGCTTTTTTAATCCTCAGTTACGTGGTCGATATATTTTGTATGCTGTACCGTACGAGTCCGATCATGATAGAATTAATCTATTGAGAAATTTTTACAAGCCGGCTCCTCTTCCAACATTGATGAGATAAGACAGATTTGTCAAACAAACAATAATTTTAATATATCTTCTTTGTCTATTTATTATCCTCAAATATAAATTCAAGGATAAGAACCTGCAAAGTTATGAATAAATAATTCAATAACAGAGAAATTATTAAAAGTACGAAAAAGCTCTTTCTCAAAGATTCTCAAGATATTATCCAATAATTTGAAGATATTTCGTTTAAAGCGTTAACACACACACACACACACGCACACGCACACGCACACGCACACGCACACACACACACACACACACACACATGTATATATATATATAACATATATATGAGCTATTTTCATACAAATAATTTATCTTTATATATTTTTAAAATTTTAAAAATTTATTCATTGTAATATTAAATATTAGATACGCCTATATTTTCAAATAGAAAGTAAAAACGTTTTCTTTCCATAATGACCAATAAAATACACTTCCAAATAAATATAAAATTGAAAAGAGAGATCAATATAATATAATATGTAATATTAAAAATATACTTAACGTGATGCAAAGTGGTCAAAGTTTGCCCGATGTATCTTCTTTGAAAAATTGAGAAGAATGAAGCCTACCCGTTTCCCTCAATTATTTTCCGCGGTTCGCCGCCTGATTCCGCGCGTTTCGTAGATCCGCTCGAAAAGGCATTAAGGACGCTCACCCCCGGCGACGGGGCGTTTAACTCCCCGATTGCTTTGACAACTTAAGCAAGCCCTTAAACCTCGCTCGAGCCCCGATGTAATTTATAAGCGGCCGAGGGGGTAACTCCGTCGGGGACCGTCAAACTGCCATGTGGCAAAACCCTCGTCGGCAGGGGAAGTCAGGGATTATGCGGTGATAAATAAATATGTACATTTATGCAATATCCCCCCGTGACGGAGTTGCGGGGGTGCAAATATACGTCGTTGCATTGTAGCGACCGAAGTCAAATTGTGTTTTGAGAGGATCGCAGGTCGAATCTACCCCTCCTCGTCAAATACATACCGGTAATCTTTGAGCTTTCGTTTCCCATTTAGAGAGTATCACTTATACTTTCGTGTTTAAAACCTGTCTTTACAATTGATTACTAATTAACTATGATGTATGTACTGTGATATATTATTAGTAAGTCATCAATTGCGTAATTCTTTTTTCATAATTTTATTTCATAATTTTTAAAATATATTTTTATCCATTAATAATTACAATTTTTTCTCTATTTTTTCATATTTTTAATGTTTATAAATTTTTACGTTAGTGTCGCATTACTTTAATATTGTTATTTTCTCACTATTACAAGTAAGTTGAGATGTATTAAATATGTTTATTCAAAATTACTTTATAATTGATGCTTATACTAAAGTGCGTTTGATTAACATCGTAAAAACTAGTACAATTTAGAATAACGAATATGTAGTAACAAATAGATAAGTAGTAAAATCTACAAAAAAGTGAATCATTGACAATAACTCAGTTAATCAGATTTATTTTTATTACAAGTAATCGTTACAATATATATCACCGATTGAGAATACGTTACAGCAAATAGTATCACAACACGAAATATACAGAGTAAGTGCGGACGAGCATCTCATTTACATGGTCGAAAAAAAATTAATTTCACATATCTTTATAAACCAAATTATTTTCATTAATCAATATTATGCAACATTAAATTTTATGAATTCATATTGTCGCCTCGGTTTTATTTCCAAACGTAATTTAATTTTGATTTGTAACGTATATATCGTCACAATTTATTAATCGTGTCTCTGATGCAAAAATTTGTCCGTGGGCAAAAAAAGAAAAAGAAATATTTTAATTGGATTCATTTTTCAAATAATCTTAACACATGAAAATTTGCGAATATATGTTTCGTAAAATAATTGATTTCTGCATTGCGTTTCGGACGTTCACAAAGCTGCAGAGTGTTCATTGCCCACTCCATCACTTTCCTCTCTAATTCGGTAACTTTATGACAAATTTAAATTAAAGTACAAAAGAGAGAAAGAGAAAGAGAGAGAGAGGGAGGGGGGGGG